ATGATGGAGGTGCTGGAGACCAGCATACATGCCCTCCAGACATGCTCTCACTACCTCATCGAAGAGGATCATGCCTGTGATGAATAAATGACTTTCCTGGCACTGAGCAGTGCAGATGAGTGCATGCCGGGCCAAGAAGCCAGAATGCACAACTTGTAGCACATCTCCCGTCACCTGACAGAAGCAGCCCTAGATACCCCCCTCCCCCGCCTCCAGTGTGAACAGTGAACAGTTGCCCTTTTTGTCACTGGACTGTCTGGCTGGCCCAATCAAAGTATTTGGGCTTCACTTAGGAGTGGTTTTGCCAACTGGCTGACCCTTTATTTTTGTGGTCAATATAAACAAATTACTTTGACTGACTCACTACATTTCAAAGATCCAGTCCCCTCTCATAAGATCATCTCTTCCCATTTTTCCGTTTTGCTAGACTGACTAACATTCTTTACTTATTCACATATGGATATGCATTAGAGACAGCAGAGCAAACTACTTTTCCATCCCCAGACTTAAATTCCACTTTTCCATTCCTTAGGTGGCCCAAGGGGATAGTAACCAAACCAGATATATTTAAAATTCATTATTTCTGGACTATTTCTAGCCAGTTTGTTTACAGATTTCCTTTTTCAGGTCAGTCTTGACACACAGACAAATGTGTACCAACTGTCTACTTTTTATATTTGGGTGAATACCTGGAAGTGGTATGTGGCAGAAAGTAAGGATGGATAGGAAGGAGCACAAACACGCTTTTGGATTTAAGCCTCACTTACTCCTCTCCTTCTGTTCTAAGTGAAAAGATTTAGGGATCTTTATTTCACTGTCATTCTTCTGAATTACCTTGAAGAGAGTGCTCAATCCCTTCCTTCCTCTTTTACTAAACATCTACTAAACATCCTATTTGTTTGTTTTCTGTAACATTTTCCTCTTCCACCTCAACTTTCTACTTTCTTTGTTTGATTCTCTGTGATGTCTTAAAATTGCAGGGTGGCAACACACCACAAATAGTAGTTTACTGAAAAATAAGACTGATATGTACTTCGTGAGCCACAAACAAAAGAATTATTTTTATTTTCATTTTTATTTATATACATGTGTGTGACAGTATATGCCATATGTTTGCAAGTGCCCATGGAAGCCAAAAGAAGGCATTGGCTCTCCTGGAGCTCGGTTTACAGTTGGTTGTGAGTGGGTGCTGAGAACTGAACTCAGGTTCTCTGGAAGAGCAGCAAGTGCTCTTAACCTCTGAGCCATCTCTCCAGCCTCTAAACAAGAGAATTTGTGATCACACTCTGGTCCTTTGATTGTAGGGTTAGTGTTTTGGTTTTGGAAATTGAGGGGCACTGTTTCACAGTTTTAACATTCTGAATAACTCCATATCCTGTGCATATAAATCCATCTAGAAAATTCTGAGAACACAACCTTATAGCAACTTTTATTTCTTGAGCAATGAATCAGACATGACAGCTTGAAGCCTGGGTATTGTGAACTAGAACCTTACCAAAAAAAATTCTTTGTCTTCAAAAATGGACTCTACTGTGCGCCACTCCAAAGTTAAAGAGCTGGAGGTGTCCCCGTGTAGTTATTATCATCACTATAACTGTTACTATCATTACTTTTATTAATTTCAGTGTTGAGTGGGAAGAAACTGTGGTTTCTCATAATTTTGAAAGTAGTAGCTTTGCCTCTGAGCTAAAGAGCACAGTGTGTGACTACACTGTCTCTCCCCTGGGGAGCAAACACTTTCTATTGTCCCCAACGTGGTGACCACATGCTTGTTTTTCAGCTGGCTACATCTTAATAAGAATGTTAGGAGAAAATGAACTAAGCTTTTCATTTATGCCATTTTTGAGAATGTACTGATGGGCTATATATCCCCTACCCCTGTAGCTGTATGTGTGGGTGCACCTGTGTGTGTTTAATAATGAAAACAGTGTACATTGTTACTGCTCTAAACAGTCACTGCTGTTCTGATGAAACATTTTTAAATCTGCTGAAGTAAATTGGGGAAAAACTGATGAGCCTCATATAATATAAAGTTTTCGTGCTCACCTGTACAAACTGCTACTATAACATACAACCACACAGAGCATGTGTTCATGAGATGCTGTAAAACAAATATGTGTGTAATAGAATCTCATTGATGGAAAATACTCAAAAAGTGAAAAGTTATTTCTTCAGGTTTCACCTTACACACACACATACACACACACACACACACACACACACACTTACACTTACAGACACATACACACGCATATACACTTTTTAAGTCAAATTAAAGGAATTATTTAATATTAATAGTCACAATTGCAATGAATTAATCATTTGGATGTTCAAAAAATTGGAGATTTTTTAAACTTAGAAAAATACTTCAAAGTGGGTTTAATTCTTGAATCTTATAGAGAAAGTAAATCATCTGTGTCAAAAAGTATCCTCCCATCTCCCTCTTTTCCCTCTCCTCCCCATCCTCTCCCTTCCACTTCCCTAACTCACCCCCCTTCCTCCTCCTGCACCAGGATTGGTAACAAGGACATTTAAACTGAGATCCAGAATAAACCTTCTACCCTCCTATTAGGGCTGCCTTATTCCTGTACTCTAACATATGACCTCCATAGCAGAGGTCTTGCCTCAGAAACTTGTGGTCAAGTAATAGCAGTTCCCAGCCTTTCTCTTCTAGAGAATAAACTTCATGGGCAGATGCAGAGCCTTTTTCAGAAGAGAGATAATTATACTCTGTCCCTTCCTGTTTCTCCTTATAATTTCATCTGTCCATCCAAATTATATACACCTGTTACTTCTGTTTTTGTCCATCTCCCTTAGTAGGTCTGAAAAAATACAATAGTTTAGTTTTAAGTCCTGTAGTCAGTCTGTAAAATGACAACTAATGATGTCTCTAACTTCTGTTCAGAAGGAATTCACCATTGACTTGCTATGGATGAATTTGTACTTAAAGTTTTATCTTCATCAGATGTGCAATAGATTTGCCACCTGTGAGAAAACTTGTGTGTCATAGCTTTTTGTGACCAAGGAGGGTATGAAGTCATGGGCAGGGCAAGTTGAACTTAACTCCTAAAGTCAAACTCATCAATCATGGGATTTAACTGCTTGAGAGAAGGATTCCACGTGTCCCTCTATGTCAGTCAGGATTCTTAAGTGACAAGCAACGGAAACTATGTTAAGCTACAAAGGAATGTACTGGAGAATCTGAAGAGCCAGTAATACTCTTTAATTTTTTTAATTTATTATTTTTATTTTATGTGTATGTGTATAATACCTGCATGTATGTAAGTGCACCTGTGTCGTACAATGCCCATGAAGGTCAGAAGAGGGCGTCGGCTTCCCCTGGAACTGGGGTTATGGAATGCTGCTAGCCACCATAAAGGGTACTGGAAATTGTATTTAGGTCCTATGCAAGAACAGCCAGTGCTCTTAACCACTGAACCATCTCTCCAGTCTCTGGAGTAATATTCTTGACCTTGACACTCAGATTTTAGGAAAACCGTTTGATTAGCCAAACTAGGATCTCAAGACTACTGTTTGAAGTGGGGAAGTCTCATGAATGCTCTGCCAATCCAGCCACACTATTGTGAGGAAGAAGAGTTTCTCAAATAAGAGAGAAGGGGAATCAGATACAAAGCAGTGTAACCAGCAGCTGTCCACCACACCATCAAACGAGGTCATCAATTTATGGAAAAACAGAGAGTAACAGGCAGGTGAATAGTAAAGTATGTCTAGTCAACAGCCCAATGATGAGACCAATAAAAGGAATATTAAAATCTGGTTTCGCTTAGCAGTTTTAAATTGGGCCACTTAGTAGCAATTTCTCTTTAAATTCCATCCTGAGCTTCCTAAACTTGGAGTGGGATATGAATAACTGGTCTATTAAGCATCTCTTTCCAGCCATGGTTTTCCTCCTGCCCATTCTCCTGGCCACACCCAATGCCTTCTCAAAGGCTGTGTCTTTTGCAACACCTTTGTTTAGATTGGAAGATGAATCAAACACTATGAAATACTTTCTTGAATTTCAGTATTTAACATTGACCATTTGATTTTTCAAAGTCAAACCTAAAGACAGAAGAGAAGAAGCAGTAACAGATTTAAATGTCTGCTTGGCGATGCCTCTGCTTGACCCCTTAGACTTGTTCTAGCTCCCTGGTCCACAGAAGAGATGAAAGAATTCTTCATGTTTCACTCCTCAAAGTACAAATCAGGCTGGCTTTATCTTTTTAAAAAGAGGCAGGCTTATTTATTGCTTCAACATTAGCAAGCTTTGTTCCCTGTAAAATTTCACTTTGGTTATTCAAATATACACTGTAGGATACAGATTTGTAACCCATCTCTCATATTACCTAGGAAAAACAAAATTTGATATCCTGGGGCCCATTTGCTGAGGGCGCTTCCCATAAAAGTCAATGAGTGTGTATTGGGAAATTTGTCTGGTTAACTCCTTTATGGATAAGCGTTAGTCACAACCTCCCCCACTCAGACACACACACTTTCGCCCCCATCTTTCTCCCCACCTCCTGACTTCCCGCCTCTCCAAGGCTGGTGACCTAATAGCATTTTTCTTCCTGCATATTTTGGCTCAGGCCCATTGCCTGGCTGCCTGCGCCTGTCTGAGTCTTTTGAAATTCCTGCATGTTCGCCCCAGATTAAGTTGAGTGTGTCTCAGGATGTGTGTTCCGTTTTGTTCTTTCCTCTAATGCTCCCTGTGCAACGTGTCTGGGGAGGAGGGGGGCGGAGAGGGGAGGGAGGGACAGAGTCGAGGAGCTGTCCGCCTTGCACGTTTCCAATCGCATTACGTGAACAAATAGCGGAGGGGCAGCGGGGCCAGAACGGCTTGTGTAACTGCAAACGTGCCAGAAAGTTTAAAATCTCCTCCTTCCTTTACTCCAGACACTGCCCGATCGCCAGTACCGCCGCGCCGCTCCCGCCTGCCTTCCAGGACTGGGAAAGGGGACAGAGGAACGGTGCCACGTCGGAGCAGCCGCCTGGGCCGGGAACAGGGTCCGCCGTCTAGCCTTGGCACCGCTCGCAGAGGACCCTCCCCACGCCTCGCCCACCTCCCTCCCTCGCGTAGTCTGAGCCCCGGCTTCTTTCTCAGCCAGCCACGTCCCCGAGCGGGGACGGTCGGGGAAGGCGCGCCATGCGTTTCGCCTGGACGGTGCTCCTGCTGGGGCCGCTGCAGCTCTGTCCGCTGGTGCGCTGCGCCCCGCCTGCCGTGGACCCGCGACAGCCTGCGCGCGAGCCCGCGGCCCCCGGCGCCTGGCGCCAGACGATCCAATGGGAGAACAACGGGCAGGTGTTCAGCCTGCTGAGCCTGGGCGCGCAGTACCAGCCCCAGCGCCGCCGTGACCCGAGCTCCGCCACCCCGGGATCCGACGGCGCCGCCGCCCCGCAGCCGCGCACGCCCATCCTGTTGCTGCGCGACAACCGCACGGCTGCAGCCCGCGCGCGCACTGCCAGCCCTGCGGGGGTCACCGCCCGCCCCCGGCCGACCGCCCGCCACTGGTTCCAAGCTGGCTTCCCGCCGTCCGCGGCCCGCGATGGAGGCTTGAGCGCAGGGAACCGGACGGCGTCGCGACGCCTCCCGCAGCTCAGTAACCTGCGGCCGCCCATCCACGTGGACCGCATGGTGGGCGACGACCCCTACAACCCCTACAAGTACTCGGATGACAACCCCTATTACAACTACTACGACACGTACGAGAGGCCCCGGCCTGGGAGCCGGTACCGGCCGGGATACGGCACCGGTTACTTCCAGTACGGTAAGCATCCCCAGGTCCGCGGGAGGCACAGGAGCACCCTGGCCGCCTCTCCACGCCTGCTCGACGTGGCGGCCTGGGCGCGGCGGGCCCTGGTCCAGCCGACCCTACCCCTATGCTTCCCCCTAGCCAGCCCGGCCAGCTCTGGAATCTGGTGCAAACCGCTCGCTCGCCTGGCCCCAGCCTCTTCCTTTTCACTTTGCCTCCTAGCCCGTGCGTTCCTACTCGGTGCATACCATTTGCCCCCACCCTGCAGTCTCGGTGGGCGAGGGGTGACAAATTGGGGACATGGAGCAACAGGGCATCCGCTTGTCTGAATGCTGCACCTCTTGACCTTTAGGTCTCCCGGACCTGGTGCCGGACCCCTACTACATCCAGGCATCCACATACGTGCAGAAGATGTCTATGTACAACCTGAGATGCGCTGCTGAAGAAAACTGTCTGGCCAGGTACCGGCCGGGATCTCCACAGCCCGGCTCCCCATTTAGTCCTGGGATCACTGCGGTGGCTAGTTCTGAATGCAGACCAACTGCTAGAAGTGGGACGAGTGCTGGGAAGTGGGACGTGACCTCCTGGGCATGCGGACCTGGTTGGAGAGTTAAAACTTTTAATGTTTTATGGGTTCTGCCTTAATATTCGGAGCAAATCTGGAGACTGTCTCAGGTTCTTTTTCCAAGATTCCAAGTAGGCGCTGGAGCCAATTATTTCCAATAACTTGCTATTAAACAACTATACAAGAACGCAGGGGGGAAAAGTGTGATTGAAGAGCTTGTTAATATTAAGGGTGTTTTCGCCATGGTGGCGCCCCACGTTGGTAAAGACCATTTTCCTCTTTTGTTTCAGGCCGTGATTGACTGTGTTGTTTGGGTATTGCTTTGGCCAGAATAATCCATGAGCAAGAGTTTTGTGTTTCCATCAGTCCTAAAATGAAACAGCTATTCTGGAATTGGGGTTCCCTGTTTTTGCTTCTGGGAACCAGCAGAGGGAGCAAAAGACGATAGTAGTTAACCTACAAAAACTGGGCCATTATCTGTATTTGAACATATATCAGAAAAAATACATTAGTATCAGCACAGTGGTGTTTCTATGCACATTTCTTCCATGCCGACTTTTTATAACTCAGGCCAGGGGAAGAAATTCAAACTCGTTTTCATTCCTGAGTCTTGCATCAGCTACACATTTCTCCAAGATACTGGAGCAAGGCTGTTTGAAGATAGTGGGGTACAAAGTTATTTATCTGAATCTGGGAGTGTTCTTTTAGATTATTTCTCCATGTAAGAAATATGTTGTTTAATTCTAGTTCTTAATAAGTACCTATGGATTTTAAAAAATATTTTACTTTTATTTTATTTTTTATTTTTATTTTAAAATGTATGAGTGTATTGCTTGCCTGTAAGTAGGTGCACCTGTGTCATTTAATGCCCTCAGAGGTCAGAAGAAGGCATCGGATGCCCTGGAACTAGAGTTACAGATGGTTGTTAGCCACCATGTGGGTGCTGGGAATTGAACCCTGGTCCTTTGCAAGAGTATTCAGTGCTCTTAACTGCTGAGCCATCTCTCCAGCCCCAATAAGTATCTCTGGATTATTTTTCATGATCATTTCCACCCCAATGATATTACTCATTCACGTGGCCAAACTTGGATTGATCGATTGTAGATCCAGGGTCTCCCGTCTGTGGATTTTAAGTGTGAACCTTAATTTTCAAGCTCTGTGGAGTTTTACTGTTGTCATTCACTTGCTTCTTCACCAGACAGTCACTGTGTTCTCATTATTCCAGGCCTGAGCTAGGAGCTTGGGATTCAGTCTCTGACTTGAGAAGCTAGCTGAGGAAGGGGGTGTTTACCACTGTGCAATGGGTGAGGTTTTCTTTCTTTTTTGTTTTTCATTAATATTCTCCATGAATCTAATAATATTTCACTTTTTACTCACAGTTCAGCATACAGGGCAGATGTCAGAGATTATGATCACAGGGTGCTGCTGCGGTTTCCCCAAAGAGTGAAAAATCAAGGAACATCTGACTTCTTACCAAGCCGCCCTCGATATTCCTGGGAGTGGCACAGCTGTCATCAGTAAGTGGATAGGCCCCTGAATACTTCTGACCCAAAGGTAGAAATCTTCTATGGTTTATGCTTAGTTTTATGATGCAGTTTGACATCATCAAAAAAATCTGTCTTTAAAAATAGTCCCTATCTTAGCCGGGCGTGGTGGCGCATGCCTGTAGTCCCAGCACTTGGGAGGCAGAGGCAGGCAGATCTCTGTGAGTTCAAGGCCAGCCTGGTCTCTATAGGGAGTTCCAGGACAGATGGGGCTACAGGGAGACCCTGCTTCAAAAAGACAAAAAAAAAAAAAAAAAAAAAAAAAAAAAAAAGTCCTATCTTTAATGATAGTTCCTAAATCACTGAATTCCATTTTCTTTTGAATTGAAAACTACCTTTGACTCTTTAAAACTGTTGAGTGGACATAACAATGAGTTGACTAGAATTTACTCTTATGCACTGCAGGTAGGCTTTTTGAAAGAGTCTGTTACAGCCAAGATCACATACAGTTAGTTAACATTAAATAGCATTTAATGAAAACTACATCTTGTTATCTAAAGATTCTGAGGCCATTGACAATGAAAGATGTAGATGGACACTTCAGGGCCTGACACTCTAGCTTTTAAAAGGCCCCTGTCAACCCCAGCGTGGTTGCCCAATCCTTTCTAAATTTAAAGGTTTTCATTTTAAATTACATATGGTTATGCCATCATTTGCCTTGGTATGTGCCCAAGTGTTTGTTGCCAGGAGATCCTGTGTGGTCTTAAACTTTCAGAAACTCAAACCCTTTCTCATTGTTGCCCCCGCCCCGCCACCCCACCATGTGAGAAGAGCTCAGTACCTCCTATTTAATGAAATGAGAAAAGCAGACCCAGGTCACTGAATTTGCAGTGAAACAAATACATACTTTATTCTGAAATAGAGCTTATGCTATTTAAATAGTGATAGGAAAAAATATCAGGCTATTGTCTTCCCTTTGCATTTTCAAACAGGTCGTAAGTTTGGTGGACCTCTAGTTTTTAAAATCTTATGCAAACTTTTCTAGAGCAAAGAGCTTCTTCTTGTTTGGAAATACAATAGCGAATAGTGGACAAGTTACAAGCACAGATGCTATATGGTCTATATTTAATGTTCAAAGATAAAATAGGCTGTAAAGGAAACCAAAATACTCAAATGCTTGCAGTTTTGATACGTTTATGTCCCTCTTGAAGAAAAGAATCTAGCCTGAATATCTCTGTAAAAAAAATAAACTTGACCTCAGTTTTAATTTGTGAGTCCAGTTTAATTAATTTATGAAGCAACAAGGAGGTCACTTGAGTCCCTAACTGTTTTCTGTATGTGCCGTTAACCAAACATTGTCTTTGTTGTGTGGGGCACTAGACATTACCATAGCATGGATGAATTCAGCCACTATGACCTGCTTGATGCCAACACACAGAGGAGAGTGGCTGAAGGCCACAAAGCAAGTTTCTGTCTCGAGGACACATCCTGTGACTACGGCTACCACAGGCGCTTTGCGTGCACTGCGCACACACAGGTAGGCTGGCACCCTGACATCAGCAGCTCGCAGGCTTCAGAGAGAAGCAGTCATCTACTATTTTATTTCCTCCCATCTTTCTTTTTTTAATACATTGTTTCATTTCGAGATTATCATGTCAACATAGAAATTGGGAAAAGGCAAATGATGACTTGATGATGCAAATTACTTTTAAAATGTTTCCAGCTGTGCATGTAGCTGCTGCTCAAGATCACAGAAGGTCAGCATGGACCCTTGCTACATTCCACAGTGAAAAGGAGTTTACTCTCCGAAAACAAGAATGCTTTACCTCATCTGCATCCATTCTGTACTCTTTAATTGGCTATGAATAACTGTTGGAAATATACATCTGGTTCCTCACCTGCAAAACCGTCTTGTTTTCAACCTATTATGCTTAATGTAGTGGTTAAAGTTAGAAAAAGGAGTGGAAATAAGTTTCTTAAGAAGTACTTTAAACATTGTCACTTTTAATAATGCAAATAAGAAGGGAAAGATAGCTCATTCTCCACACATGTATATTTAAACTTACAGTGTAATTAATGTCAGATGTCCTCTGGATAAATTTTTTTAAATAGTGCTGAGTTAAGCGGTTTGCATTTCTTAGAATTGGAAAATGTGTGTCAGTTAAAAGCCATGTCAGTATTTCCATCCGAAACCCTAATTTGTAAAAGGACATTATAATTTTACTCCAGCCCAACTCTTGGCAAGGAGTTCGTGAATGTACATAATCCAGGGTACAAAGACATCATAGCTGACATCCTGGAAAGCAGATTCCAGGCCTGTGGCAGGAAGCATTTTGGTGACCTACATGTGGTGACTATTACTTCTTTTTCTGGGCTTAACCCATTAAAGCAATTAGAAAGGGAAAATGTTAAATTTAACATGGGTTGGATGGGGCAGAACTTATATTTTAAGTGAAAGGAGCTATAACCCACCCCTATATTAACCATGCTTAATATATCCTTCTCATTCACTGAGCACCAGTGAGAGGACCTGGAGTTTATCTTTCCCAGTCAGAAAATGACGTACATTAGGCATCTCACACTAAGCTGGAATAATTGGATGTGGGATTGTGCATATTTCAGCCCCCGTGGCTCCCATGCTAATCGGCATGATCTCACTTTGCTTTATATGGTAGCTTTGCTGTCGGTTGTTCCGTGTATGTCTTACATAACAATTTTTCACCGGGTCTTGCATTGTAAGTGATTTGTGTATTTGTGCTTTCTTCATTAGTCTCTTGAACATAGACTTCATTTAAAGGAAAGCCATTCTCACAAATCCCTAATGTCAACTTAAATTTATGTTATTGTAATAATGCAATGCTCCCCAGATGGATACAAGCATATAACTGGGTATAACTTATACATATGTATTTATAAAAACTCCCTGTGTTCTAAGATCACAAATTTACATACACATACATGCATGGTTAGAAATAGTCATATTAAACTCATTAACCACATGTAGCAAACAGCTGTGTTTTGCTGAAACAAAATAACTACCTTAGTCTAGGATGAAGCTCAGTTTATTTTTATATTTTGACTTGGGTACATGAAATGGTTCCTTGCTTAATAGCCTTGGCAGCTTCTGGTTTTTGTTTGCTAGTTCAAATAATCACAGCTTGTAATTAACTAATATTCTTCCAGCTGATAAACCCTACAGTGATAATTTCAGTGTTTTTACCCTTACACTTAATACTTACAGACACACACACACACACACACACACACACACACACACACACACACACACAATTTTTTTTCCTCCAATGGAGCCTTGCTGTGATACCTAGGCTGGTGTCAAGTTCCTAGGCGTAAGTGATCCTCCTGCCTCAGCCTTCTAAGCAATTGGGATTACAGATTTATGCCACCCAGGACTAATTTCAGTATCTTCCTTCCTTCCTTCTTTCCTTCTTTCCTTCCTTCCTTCCTTCCTTCCTTCCTTCCTTCCTTCCTTCCTTCCTTCCTTCCTTCCTCCCTCTCTCCCTCCCTTCCTCCCTCCCCCCCTTCTATCTCTTTCTTTTTTGTTGTTTTTTGAGGCAGCATCTCCCTGTATCCCTAGTTGACCTGGAAATCACTATATAGACCAGAGTAGCCTCAGTTCTGATGAGATTCACCCACCTCCATCTTCACACCCAGCTTAACTTGAGCACTGTTTTTATTCACTTGAAAGTAGCATTACTTATACCTGTCTTCACTCTGAATCTAATCAGTGAGCTCTTTCTAGTATCATGAGTGCAGTAGTAGCAGTGATGGTGGGAGCAGCAGCGAATCAGTGTGTATAAGTGTGCCTGCCTCAGTTGATGTGGAACCAGATCAAAAGCTCTTAATTCTCTGTATCCCACTCAACACATGAAATGGCAGTGGATGGAGGAGGGAATCCAGGCAATGACAAAGGATTGTGGTTCTCGCTGCTGTGGCTCAGGTACTTTTGAGTTTGGCCTGTCTGTGTGTCCTGCTATACGACAGACAGCACTCTGTCCTCCTCACTCTTCCCAAATCCATCCTCAGCCAGTCCCATACCACTAATGCATGTTGGGACACTTTTGCTATCTTTGTTGAGCAAAGTATGCACTAAAGCAAATGAGTGTTAATTTTAAAGTACAATATTGTATCAAATGATTTTAACACATACTTTTTAATCAGCTTGGATTATTGAATAAAAATACAACAGCTTAAAGTTCTCATGAGGGAATAAAAATATTCCTATAGCCTCCAATTGAAAAAAAAAATTCTCCAGACTACCACTCTTAAGAGCAAGAACTATATCTTCTTGGTGTTTTTTTTTTTTTTTTCTCCTCCCAGCCTATATAAAACACCCAATGACTTATTGAGGCAGTACATGGAATGCTGTGGCATTTAGGTGTACAGCCATACCTTTGATCCAAGAAAAGATTTCACCAATTATGTGAGGGAGGGAAGAATGTGGTAGCTAAGAAAAGGTACTCTGGTGCTAGAGAGATGGCTCAGTGGTTAAGCACACTGGTTGCTCTTGCAGAGGACCTATATGTCAGCTAACAACCAGTTCCAGGGGAGTCCATAGCCCTCTTCTGAACTTTGCCTGCATTGAATAACATGGGTGCACTTACATTCAGGCAAACACTCATACACAAAAAAATAAAAATAATAAATAAAATTTTAAAAAATACAGAAAAGGTACTCTGACCCTGTTAGCATGATCTTGAAGCCAACTCAGTTATTTCCTGTTTAGCCTTCAGTAAGTCATTTGACCTTAGTGTGCCTCAGTTTCCTTATGCATAAAATGGAGATAACAGCACCTGCCTGATGTGGTTGTGAGAACTGAGTTCACATCATATGTTTAAAATAGTTTTGGCACATAATAATATTAAATGTTAACTACTCAAGGATGTAACATAGGCTTTATTTGAGGGGGAGTCATTTCTATAATCCAATTACAATGCAGAGGAGAGATAGATGAACACTATACAAGTGACTCAGGACAAAAGTATCATAGGCATCCAGAACAGAGAAAGGTCATGGGAGAGAGGTTCAGACAGGGCATTTAAACTAAATTAACTACCAAGGGGCTTCATGCCTCATCTGCTAATCTTGGATTTTGGTAGAGGCCTATTTTGTGACTTAAGCTTGTATTTTTCATTGGTGACTTAAGGCACTCAAGAAATGAGGTATGCTACTGCATCTTGCTGTCCCACATCTGTTTTAAGCACTGGTTATGACGAGACTCATTAATGTGTACTTCTCAAAAGGAAAGGAAATAGAAGTATGATATTATGTCAAATTCTTGTATGTTCTAATAAAATTAATTTGCAAATAATATCATGTTCTTTAGCACAGTCTGGCCATACACTATCATTTAGTTTACAAATTTTGCTGATTTTTAGGGATTGAGTCCTGGCTGTTATGACACCTATGCAGCAGACATAGACTGCCAGTGGATTGACATCACAGATGTACAACCTGGAAACTACATACTAAAGGTAGGGAGTTTTGAATATATTTCATTGCAAAGCAGTAGGCTCCCTTTTTTCTGGATTCAAATATTAAGCAATCATGGTATTAGAAGCAATCATCCATCCTTTAGAGCAAGTTTTAAGTGACTTGGGAATATAAATTTTTTTATTTTTAAAGAACTCAGGAAAATTTACACCATTTCTTTCTGTAATGTGTCAAGAGCTTAACCGCTTATACTCTTCTTGATTAGCTCAGTCCCTTGTTAGCAATTTCCTTTTAACTTCCCTATGAAAATAGAAAATAATCAGTATACAAAGAAGGTGAAATCATTCATACAAATGCTGTTCTTGTTGTCCAGGTCAGTGTAAACCCCAGCTATCTGGTGCCTGAATCAGACTATAGTAACAATGTTGTGCGCTGTGACATTCGCTACACAGGACATCATGCCTATGCCTCAGGCTGCACAATTTCACCGTAAGTATTACTTGCCAAGCTAAGTAATTTTCTTTCCAAGGACATTTGCACTTGATCTTAGTCAAATGGCTGAGAAATGATTACAAGTTTTGTCACCTGGCATGCAGCACAAGTGTCTGTTTCTACTACCTTCTTTACAAATAAAACAAAATAAAAATTAAATATAAAATCTGTGCTATTATATAATTTGAGTTAATCTTTTGTTTTTCAGAAAATGCTAGAGAAGGAGATGCACTAATGTTTTAATCAGGGTTTTAATCATGCTTAAATCTCAGTTTTCAGGATAAGGAAGGTCTAGACATAGGATGCAGTATTTACCTGAAAGGCTGTGTGGAGGCCCAGTGTGTCAAGTTGCTCCTATGTGGTATAAGTGAACTTGAAGGAGCCATAGCCATCGGCTTTCCTCCCCTTTCCTCCGATTCCCTAGAGAAGATGGAAAGAAAGTCAGAAAGCTTCCCAAAGTATACTTTCATGTATTTGACTGAAAAATGAGTGTGTGGGGGGTGATGGGAGGCGGGGTCCCTTCCATAATTTCTCTAGTCTTGAAACCGTGGTGAATGAAATCTTGGAATCTCAGCACATAAGTATTAACCAGGATGTTCTTTGCTCAAAATAAGGAAAGTGGGGAGGGTTTTCTTAGTTGCTCACCTAGCCTGCCAACCTCCTTAGGTATTGCCTGCTCCGTCCCTTCCCAGGTTGTTCTAAGAATTAACAAGAAGACATTGGAATAACTGAACAGGCACCAGCTTTCCACTGATACTGAAAAAGCACTGCAGCATGAGGGGGCCATGTTCACCTTTAGAGGCCTTTTTCCTTTTATGTATTCATGTAAATACATAAAGGAGCAGAGCCTGTATTTTGCAAACATTATCATATTATTAGAAATAGATGAGGCTCATGAAAGAACAGGGTAAAATTGGGAAAATATAACCAAATATACTCTTTTGAAGATATCCACAGAACAAAACCCCAGACTGGTTCTTTGGTCCATCAAGTATGGAATTGGCGTTAGCAAAAATGATAGCCCCATAATTTAAATAATTTAAGGTAAAAACTAGTAATTGGTAATAATTGTTTCTTTTAATTTTTCTATTTACTAATTCACCATTTATTTACTTAATTACTCTCACTTTGCATTATATATTTAAGGTTCCAAACAAGGTATTTGAGAGTAATACAAAGATAGATATAATTGTTCCCTTGTAGACTTGCTGTAACAATTTCATTGTATTGTATATGAATTTCTTTGTTTAGTATTTGTCTCCGTCCATAATCCATGATGGCCAGAATCTAATTGTTTGACATTATATACTGTCGATGCAAAAGCATAACTCTCACCTCAAAGGGGAGAAGAGATAGTTTATTCTGGAGCCAAATATGAGTGACCATGGCCTGGGAACACAGACTCAGGTTACCCAAAATTCCATGTTCGTGTGGTAACAGTTGCTTACATTTTTATAGTAACAAAGAAAAGTCATAAATCAAGACACTTTTCAAATACATTGGGGGATACATTCAGTAGGTGGTTCACAGCAAAGCGAGGGGTTTTTTTACTATAGGTCTCAGATGCTGTCTGATGCCAATAGCCTTGGCCAGATAGAGACTTGTCTCCTTGTAGCTTCCCACTTAATACATGAATTATCTTGTCTCAAGAAATGTAGAATTGAATAGTAAGAGAAATCCACACACAAATCTAATAGCAATGTGATAGCTAAAGTTTCCGAGGGCAAAAAATGCAATGGGAACAAATGGACCTCCTATGTCTGCTGATGCCCAGCGACCCATGTTCCCACTAAAGACAGGATTTGAGCACTAACTTTGATACATAAAATGTTATTTATTTTAACCAGTAGAATACATTAAGTTGGATATTTTCAGATATTTAAAACGAATAAAAATTGTTGTATTTCTCCACAACAGGGATTCTAGCTGTGGCACCTGCACAGGATTGGTTATATTAAATTGATCAATTATCACTGACTGGAACTAAATAGCAAATGCTGTTGAAAAGCAATTTTAGCAATCAATATTGATCAGATGAGAAATGTTACTCACAGTTAAAGACTCAGAATTCAATTTAAGATCATGCTTATTCTATGATTGGGAAATAAATGCAGATGAGGGAAAGACCATCCCCTGAAGGAGAATCAAGCTTGTCTCTTACATTTTGACTTTACTCTCAGGCCTCCCTCCAAGCTCAGAGGAAGGAGAGACTGTCACACACTGAAATCTGGGAATGACTTTAGGACAGCATTTAAATTTGGCCTTGAAGGCTGAGAAGTGCAACCTGGGGATGAAGAAGGGCGTGTTGGGAGGAGCCAGTGCCGCAGGCAACTGCATGGCAGGAGGGAATTGCAGATGTTTGCAAGGGCAAGTCTTCTAGTTCAGTTCAGCATAAACTTCATTCATGGCATTGAGCTGGGCCAAAAGGGTGGAAATGTCAGTTAGGACCAGATCAAAGGCAGCAAGCCAAAAAGTCAGAACTTCATTCTGGAGGTCTCTACAAGCAGAGAGTGTAACTTGCCTAAAACCATGTGGACAGTCTGATGGCTATGCGTGTGTGATCACATACTATTGTTAGTGTATTTTTTAAAACTCTAATGTCATGCCACTGTCAGTTCACTGGTTGTTTTTTCATGCCAGTTAGATATTTAAAACCGTTATCTTGGTATGTCAAAGCTACCCAGTGATTTGGTATGCTCCATTAATACATCCTTTCTCTCTCATTCTTCCTATTATGAACACAATGTATGGACTAGGTGACTCAGGTCCCTTTTAATTCTCAAATACTATAGCAAGGTTTTCTTCTCCTTACAAAAAAGTGCTGTTTAGAAATTGACAGTGACTTGGATGCAAGTGCATTCCTTATATGGGAATCTCTGATTACCACTTAAATATAACAATATTTGATTGGTGGTCTCTGTTTCCATTTCTGCCTATTAATACATTATCCTGAATCCAGAAGTATGCTGGAGAAGAACTAATGCAGGATGTGCAGAAGGCATGAAGCCCCACTCTTGTTCCATGGATTGGGCTCACCTGGCTGGGTGCTGGTCCCATCAGTCCTGTTTCACTTCCCATCGTTTCAGATGTGGTTTCTTTGACTTTAAACATCCAGACTATAGACATCAGACATATACTCTCTGCTATTAATATATTTTCTTTCTTCTAGTCACTTCAAAATAATGTTCTAATGATAATTTTACAGTGTGACTATTGCTTATGCAGAGGGAAATTGTTACATATGTTTTTTAAAAGGCTGACTTAAAATTTTATTTGTTGTGCTCATTCATGGTACTATAAGATGAATAACTTGTCCACTTTTGTTTTCTTAACCTAGGTATTAGAATGCAAGCCAAAGTCCCAATGGATAAGTCAGCGCCTGGTATTCTGAAATATGAACAAATACATTAGCTTCAGTAGGACTTGCATATTTTAAAAGGCGAACAGAAAACAACAAAGGAAGTTTTGTTTGGACTCTTAAACAATGAAGCACATAACTGGATTTTGAACATTTAAATCAGCATTATTTGGAAATTTAAAAATATTTATTCACATTGTGAATTAACAGAGTTTTAATTCTGTATTTGCATATTTGACTCTTTCAAAGAACCCTAAATTTCGTATTTTCTTTAGAAGTTATAGTTCAAAGGGAAAATGATCTTTTAATGAATGAGCCCTAATTTGAACTGATTATTTTTTAAAGTGAAAAAAAGTGAAACATAACAATGAGTTTATTATTTTTGCCTTACCGTAGATTAATTTAGAAGTGATGCTCCTACTGTTTAAATGGATATGGATACATCTGGTGCTGAGGAAGGCTCAAATGCATTACTAGTGGTGTCAAGAGATCTTACTCTATAGCAGAGAAATGGCAATATATGTATTCAGATAGTTACAGCCCTATATAAAATTATGTTTACATTTTAAATTAGTAGGTAATTTTCTTTCTGTTAAGCGTGTGATTTCATTCTGGCTTAAGACAACTTTTCTTTTAGAATGAATCATATAATTGAACTTCCCAATTCCTGTCTGATATTTGTTGATGCTCTACTCTTAGTTTTTCTATGGGCAGAGTTTCTAATATGAAATTCTTAAAGTTATCATTCTGGGGATTAATAAGATAGGACAACTGTGCAACTGGGGAAACCATTCTGATAACAAGTGTGATAATTACACCTATAAATAAAATGCCCTGAAACATATTTTACTATTAATCAAAACTAAGTCCTTGCTGACACAAAATAATATAAATAAATCTCCATAGCCACAACTGTCTTTCAAATAAAAACACTGAAAAACCTTTTTTAGATTTTTCAACTGTACTACATTTGAAACTGTTCATCTGTTAGGAGGAATGCCTAAAAAGTTCAATCATCCAGAACAGATGACCTCGTATGTGTGCAATACAGGAACACCATTCTAGATTATTCAGGAATTGGTTGTACAAGTGTTTTGTATATTTCTGAAATATAATCCAAATCTGCAAAGCACGTAGCATTACATTCTTGAGGGTTTGGTGAATAAGAGGAAAGAAAGTACATTCTGCAAAACCAAGGACTGTTCTCCATAATAAGACGGCTGTGATTTTATTTTAAACTGTGAAACTATGTGCAACAGTAGAATTTGGAGAATCTTTTTCTTAAATTCAAAAGGTGCAGAAAGAAATCAAGTTAGACTTTTAAGTTAGTGGTGCTTAAGCAGAAATTTTCCTATATTAAGCAGTATTGAAATCTCAAGTAAGGTATTTCCTGTGCCAGAACATGTTAGGTAGAACTTTATAAGTGAGTTGGAACCCTGTCTTGTGTGTCATGGAGTTGAAAGGATACCATCAGTTACTAATAATCATACTGCACTCACTGGTGCATAGCATGGTAAGAAGGGCCAGAAATGGGAGTCACCAGGGCAGATTGCACGGTACAAATGATTCTTATCTGCCCAGCACACATTTACCAATAAACGAATACAGACAGAACTTTGGTTGAGCTAGTATCTGAGCTACAGGATTGCTTCTTTGATTTACCTCTTTGCCTTAAATTGCTTTTAGTTTTAAGAGTATAGAATGATCCTTTCAAATTATAAGCATTCTAATAGAGATATTTTAATATACTTGCTTTTAAAAATAAAACAAAAACTACTGTCAGTATTAATACTGAGCCAGACTGGCATCTTTAGATTTAACATCCCTTGTTTTGCTAAGATTCTCTAAGAGTAGGCTAATAATATGGCCCTTAGATATATAAGATAAAAATATATTTACAGTCATTTCAATGAGGCATTTATCTATTTACCCACCATTATTTGAGGGACAGTGTAAGCCAGACATCCACTAGATATTGAAATATAAAAAAGACTTCTGTCACCTCACTGAATATGAAAATTAGGCTGACCTTATTTCATTTTTAACTGCTAAACGACATCCATAGAATCTCAATTTTAAGCACTATTTGTTATAACCATATTTTATTTTTTAAAAAGTAAGTTAAAGTTATTAATTATATACATGTATGTATTTCTAATAATTAAAAATATGTTTCGGATCCATGGGATGTCTGCCTTTTAAATATAATGTGTACTCTTTTGTTGATTCAAATTTTTTCACTAGGAAACTGTTTATTCTTCTTATGAGCATCCCTCTTCCGCCACCATTCCCAAACACTTAAAAATTGATTTAGCACTTCATATTTCTCATCCTTAGGGTTCTGTTCTCTGAATAGTCATCAAACTAGTGATAATGCTAAAAATCACAAGCTAGTCTTATTAAACTCTAAAATTTTAAACTTAAGAGGTAGAAATGACACAAAGAGCATTGAGGACTGAGAGGAGACTTGTTTTACATCGGTAAAGACTGTGAAAACTAGAAAATGAATTAGTGAGTCTCCATCTGCTGTCTAAGCAGCCTCATGATCATTCATACTGCAGACTCAGCCCTCAGCGGGACCACAGGAGACAAATGCACACCTAGCCTAGTTCTGGAAAAATCTTTGTATTTTTATGTAATAATTTAATTTACAAATTGTATCTAGTTATTCATTGGGCATTATTTTTAAAGCTATTGTTTTGCTCTTTGAAGTCTGACACAATGGTCACACTAGCATTCTTTATATTCAGATTTTAGAGGAAATGCGGTTCACTGAAATTTTTCTGCCACTTAATCATTAATCTTCAGAAGATTGCATGAAAATATTGAATTCTTGGTTGGGAAATGTTTTCAAAATAACTTGTTTTGGGTCTAATAATATACTTGGTAATAAAATATACTTTCTGTGTTTTCTTAAATTCCTATGCACAATATAATAAATTGACAATTAAGATTTCATTCCCAGCTACTCCAAGTCCTAGGCCACTTTTGAATACAGATTTCATTTCTCCTTCGTGCTTAAATGGTGCTGAATTATTTAACTTGAATGTAAAATGCATTAAGTCTTAGCTCATGGGTTACAAACAATACACAGCTGCTTGTTGCACAGTAAGTGACATGTCATTTGGTATTATAATGTTTATAATGAACTTTCAGTTTCTCTCAATTTTTTTCTGAAGTTATTTGTAAAAAAATAAAAATTTTACCTGCTTTGAAGAGCTCTTATTTTAAATGCCCAGACGCTGTCAGCTTTCTATCCTTCTTCACAGTCATATCCTTTTTCTTGTACACCTATACTGTAATGGCAGGATTATATAAAATGCCTTGATCAAACAATTTCAAGTGTCTCTAGTGGTCATTTGTTGTTATTTATAAATAAATGATCTGAGCTTCAGCTTTGATTAGAGCATTAAAGCCATGTATGTGATTGTCTTGCTTAACTGTCTTTTGCATTAACAGTTTAATATCATCATGTAACTTGAAGCTTATCTGGAATGAAGAGAAATTTAGTCTAGTTTCAGACCAGATACATGATCATGCATATTGTACATGAATGGATCTTGACTTGTGTTGCCATTGCCAGCTACTTCTAAGGACAGATAGCACTCATTGAAAGTACAATCACACTCTGATTAGGTTCTCCAAGTTATGAATGAACATACATATTCACTTAAGAGACATACTTACCAAACCATTTGTATAAAGAGAAATATTTCTATCATGGTAATCCTTATTTAAGCTTGCACCAAGTCAGTCTGGAAGCTGGTGACCTGAGGGAACAACAAGATTCCAAACTGTAGGAACACTTTATGAAACAAGTCCACTAAAACAATGCACCCTCTTTCAGGTTACAAAACAGATGCAGACTTCTGACTGACAATTTGCAGATTCGATCTTTAGAACGTCAGTGATGATAACACTAATGTCCTGCTTCCCTCTCCTACCTGCTCAAGGAGGAACATGAGAATACATCTTTCTTATAACAGGAAAGAGATTTCCTTTGAACAGTACTCAGTGTTTCAAGCCATGTTCATTATTAGCTCATGAAGACAGGGTGAGCAGAGCCTTCCTTTTTTGTCATGAAACTTGTCTATCTTTGTGGTACTCATTTATATTTGTTTTAGGTGTTGTTGCTACTGTTTTGTTTTGTTTTGTTTTGTTTTGTTTTGTTTTGAGACAGGGCTTACTGTGTAGCCCTGGCTTGTCTGGAACTTGCTATGTAGAGGAGGCTGGACTTGAAATCACAGAGATTCACCTGCCTCTGCCTCTCAAGTGCTGTGACTAATGGTGTGAGCCACCACATATTTGGGAATGACTTTTACAATATGGACATAATTTGAACAAAAGATTTTTATTGACCCTTACCACCAAAAATTACTGTATATAATGTAAACAAGCTCAATTAGCCATATGTTACTCTTCTGACCTGTGCGCCTGACCTTAACCCCTCAGGACCCCACCATGCCTCCACCAAAGATAGTGAATGTGGTTGTGCTTGTTTACAAAACACAAAGCACTGGAAGCAGTGTGTTTTTCTTATTGAAAACAGTGAGAAGAATTGAAAAGTCCATTTGTATTTGTGTGTGTGGCATTCTAGGCATAGGGATGAAAGGGCAAGATTCTTTGATTAAGGGTGAGTTCTGACTTCTACTTCCCCACTTCATGCTGGGGATACTGTTTCTATTAAGGAATGAATGAAGCCTGGCTCAAGTGCACATTCCACAAGATATCTGAAGGAACAGGTTTCAAGATTCAGGTCTACTCTTGGTCTTAAAATGAATACTAGGAGTCAGGCATATTCATTTATTCAGGCATAACTGTGATGTGGCTTAGAAAAGCTCAGCTCATATTTCTAATCTTTGCTATAGATCTTAGTAAATACTTAAAGATTGAATAAATCACCTTCATTTGAATTTGCTGCTTGAGTTTAAACAAAGTCCTTTACCACATTTCTTTTTAAAATTTGAATGAGTAAAATATCATTTATATGGAATTGGAAAAATATTGATTTTCTAAAGCACATACAGCCTGTTCTTGACTTCAATGGGTTATTTCTGGTGTTTCTGCAGAGATAACCTGAAGAGATACTGAAATCCATGGTTGCCCTTATAAAATGCCATAGTTTTAAGTCAGCTCTAGATAATTTATACAGATATATCTTGTTTGAACATGCCTTATTTTATTGTAATTAACAGATACTGGATTTTTTGTTTTGTTTTTACAAATTAAAAGTTTATGGAAACCTCACATCGAACAAATCCATCAGTGTTATGTTTTTTCAAAACTACGCATTCACTTTGAGTCTCTGACTTTCATTTTGGCAATATGTCAAAACTTTTAATCGTTATCAGCCTGTTATAGTGATATGTGATGAGTGATTAAAAAATATGTATATAAGTGCTTTGCCTTCATTTATATAAATGCATCCATGTTGTGCAATGCCTGAGGAGGCCAGAAGGTTGTGTTGGTTCCCCTGGAACTGGAGTTCCAGTTGAAACATGCATACTTAAGGATTCAAAGTTAGCATCCACATCTAAGAGAGAACATGTGACTTTTTTTTTTCTGGGTCTGAGTTACCTCACTCAGGATGATTGTTTCCTGCTCCATCCAGTTATCTACAAATTTCATAATGTTGTACTTAACAGCTGAATAAGACTCTATTGTATAAATGTGCCATATTTTCATTATCTATTCATTAGTTGATAGATATCTAGTTGTTTCCATTTCTTGACTATTGTGAATGGAGCAGGAATGAACATGGATGAACAGGTATCTCTGTAGTAGGATATAGAGTCCTTAGGACATATTCCCAAGAGTGGTATAACTGGTCATGTGGTAGATCTATTTCTAGCTTTTTAAAGAACCTTCATACGGGTTTCCATAATGACTGCACCAGTTTGCATTCCCACCAGCAGTGAATAAGTATGCCTCTTTCCCCATATCTTCACCAGCATTTTTCATCCTTTGTTTTTTGAATCTTAGTCCTTCTCACAGGGGCAAGATGAAATCTCAAAATAGTCTTAATTTTCTGATGGGTAAAGAGTTTGAACATTAAAAAAATTCTCAGTCATTTGTGCTTCATCTTTTGAGAAATTTTTAGTCTCTTGCCCCAATTTTTAATTAGGTTTTTAAAATTAGTTTTTTTTATGTTTAGTCTTTGAGTTCTTTGTATATTCTAGATACTAATCTCTGTCTATAGCTGGTAAAGGCTTTTTTTCCCCATTCCATAGGCTGCCTCTTCATTCAAATGATGGCTTTCTTTGCTGTGCCAAAGCTCTTTAGTTTCATGAGATGTTGTTTTTCAATTTTTGGTCTTAATATCTACACTATTGGGGTCCTGGTCAGAAAGTCATTTCCTGTGCCTATAAGTTTTAGTGTATTCCCTACTTTCTCCTCTATCAGATTCAGGCTATCAGGTCTTATGTTGTGGTCCTCGATCCATTCAGTGTTGAATTTTGTGAAGGATGAGAGATAGGGATATAATTTCATTTTTCCACATGTAGGTATCCAATTTGACCTGTACCATTTATTGAATATGCTATCTTTTCTCCAATGTGTAGTGTTGGCCCCTATGTCTGAAATCAGGTGGCTGTGTGTGGGCTTAAATATTGGTCTTTAATTCTGTTCCATTTATCAATTTATTATTATTATTATTATTATTATTATTATTATTATTAGTCAGGAGCATGCTGTTCTTTATTACTATAGCTCTGTAGTATAATTTAAAATCAGGAATGGTGATACCCCAGGTCTGCTTTTATTGGTCAGGATTATTTGCAATGTCGTTTGTTGTTTGTTTGTTTATATTTGTTTGGTTGTGTGTGTTTCCATATGAAATTTGAGATTTTTTTTTCAATTTCTGTGAAGAATTGTGTTGGAATTTTAATGAGCATTACATTGAATCTGTAGATTACTTTTGGTAGGATAGTCCTTTTCATAGGGTCAATAAGACCCCATTGGTCCATGCACATGAAATTCAATTTCTTTTTCAATGTCTTAAGTTTTTATGATACAAGTCTTTTACTTTCTTGGTTAGATTTATTCATATCTATATAGGTTATTGTGAATGGGATAGTTTCCCTGGTTTCTTTCTCAATATGTTTGTTATTGGTATATATGAAGTCGACTGATTATTGTGTGTTAATCTTGTATCTTGCTACTTTGCTGAATGTTTTATCAGATCATATCATCTGCAAATAAGTACGGATATTTTGACTTTTTTGTAAATTCTTTATTGAAATTTTGTGTATTTCATACAGAACATCTTAAATAATCTTAATCACCTTTGTACCCATTCCCTATTGACTTTGACTTCTTTTCAATTTATATTTCCTTTATTTCCTTTATTTGTCTTATTGTTCCAGCTAAAATTTCAAGCACTATATTGAGCAAGAATAAAGAGAGTGGACATCCCTATCTCCTTCCTGATTTTAGTAGAAATGTTTTGAGTTTTTCTTTGCTTAGTAGGATTGTGGCTGTGTGCTTGCTGCATAGTGCCTTTATTTTATTGGGATATGTCCCTGCATTCCTAGATTATCCATGACTTTTTTGATGAAAAGATGTAGGACTTTTTTAAAGGCCTTTTCTGCATCCAATGAGATAATCATGTACTTTCTGTCCTTGAGGCTTATCCTACTAAACTGTTTTTGTTTAGAAGACTGAAATTTCCACGATAAATACTTTTTAATTAACAGAAGTGAGACCATTTGCAAATTGCATAAAATAAATATATAGTAGTGGCAGCTTTTGAGTAGTATAACACAAGGTTCCTGAAAACCACGAATCTGTCTTGTTTCCTAAAACTGTCTGCTTAAGCAGGACCCTCTTCTTGGGAAAGATTACAGTGTTTAAACTATCTTCTGTCTTAAGAAATATGGATCATTCCTATTTATCAGGTGATTTTAATGCTTTAGCACCCCTTAATAAAAGTTCTTCTTTTTCAAATCTTAGTTGTGTATAGCACACAGAGTGAACCGATAATTTTCTTTATGGTTCATTCATTCTGTATATTCAAAATTATTTTATGCTATACCCAATTGTATACAATTTAAGTGAATTTTAAGCAAAGCTTAGATCTCCTCCTAAGAGATAGGGAAAAGTAGAATTGAGTGACTGGCTTGGAAGAAAGGGCGTGTGCATGTATATCCACAGTTTTACTTTCTGTGGTTTCCATTACTTGTGTTCACCCATGGTCTGAAAATATGAAATGGAA